TCCTTCCTCTCTCTCTCTCTCTCTTTCTCTTTCTTTCTTTCTTTCTTTCTTTCTTTCTTTCTTTCAAGACAGAGTTTCTATGTGTAGCCCAAGCAGTCCTGGAACTCACTTTGTAGACCAGGCTGGCCTCTAATTCTCAGAGATCCACCTGCCTCTGCCTCCCAAGTGCTGGGATTAAAGGTATGCACTACCACCCAGCTTTTTATTAGGCTTTCTTTCTTTTATTTTCTTTTTCTTTTTTTCCGAGACAGGGTTTCTCTGTATTGCTTTGGTGCTTGTCCTGGAACTAGCTCTGTAGACCATGATGGCCTCGAACTCACAGAGATCTGCCTGCCTCTGCCTCCTGAGGTCTGGGATTAAAGGCATGTGCCACCAATGCCCAGCTTATTAGGCTTTCTTAAAGAGTATGGATGAGAGGTTAGGGAAGGAGTGTGGGTGGTTCTAGAGCAGATACACTGGAGGGTCTTCACCCAGCATAGGTGACAGTGCCCTCATGGCCATAGTGATGGAGTTGGGGTGTGTGTGTGTGTGTCCCCATTAATCCATATTATTCTGAGGCCAAATGCAGTTGGAATAGTATTGCATATAAGTGGAGGAGCAGCTGGATACTCAGGTGAGGCTTCAATGACACTTCTCACACTCTCCTTCTATGAGGGATGTCAACAGAGCATCGGCCCAATTATGATTGCTATTTGCAAGCAGGCACAGCTAATTTGATGATGATGGCAGATGTTTGTTACCTAGAGGTGCTCTACAACATAATGGAAGCATGTAGCATGGAAGTGTGTGCTTTGGAAACATGTACTGTGGAAGCATATGATGAGGTCATCATCATTTCTGCCACCAGCACTGTTGGAATTACAAAGGACATGCTTCATGTCCATCCTATGTGGTCAAGGTTAAAACAAGTAGTGTCTTCTATTCCCATGCACGCTTGTGGCAGACATTTCATTTACGTTCCTCAAAGCAAACACAAAAAAGGGTGTTTTCACATTGCAAAGCTCATTCACCAACATGAACCTGGAAGAGTGATGAAGTGTGTAAACTCCCATCACAGACAGCAAGAACTAATGGGACATCTGTAACACATTTTGATGACAAGAAACAATAACTATATTACTATTACATTTATCTATTTAGTGTGCATATGTGTGCCAGCATGTGCATGTAATCTTCTGGAATCAGGGTCTGTTTTCCTCCATGTGATTCTGGGGATTGAACTCGTCATTGGGCTTGGTAACCGATGCCCTTACCCAAGGACTTCTCTTTGATTTAAGAAACAGCAATGTTGACATCAGGGAACACTTGTAATCCCAGTACTTGGGAGGCATAAGCAGGTGAATCTCTGGGAGTATGAGGCCAGCTTGGTCTACAGAGTGAGTGCCAGGCCAGCCAGGGCTACACAGACTCTGTCTCAAAAAAACAAGTGTTAGGAAAGTGGCTCAGCAGGTAAAGGTTTGATGCCTGGCAAGCTTAGCTTGACCCTGGGTCCCACACGATCGGAGGAGAGGACTGACTCTCAAATATGACTGTAATTTTAGAAAAACAAAAACAATAAAACAACCAATATAATTACTATATTTTGAATTTTACCAGTAAAAAGTGTGGGCCTTGTTTCCCACCGTGTGACACACGTTCGGCATTTTTTGGTTGTTACATTTCTGTTGGTTTTGTAAGCTGATCTTCCCCCCTGGCAGCCTTGTTGAATTCTGGGCAGATTAGGGTTGGGGCCAAATGCGCTGTAGAATATAAAACCACTTCTGGAAAAAGGTCAGAGGTGGGAGCTGTGTAAACTCAGTTCTGCAAACAGAAGGGTTTTGTAGGTAGGTTTTTGTTTTTGTGTGTGTGCTGGGGGACCGAGGGCCTCCTGCGAGCACACTGAACCAATGGGCCACAGTGGAGTTCTTTGTGTAGGTATTAAAAGCAGGGGCAGACTCCATGCTGGGAACTGGCAGTTGCTAATTATTGGAAGGGTTGGAGGAGAAGTTAGGTCTTCTAGTTTTAAGGTCACTCCACTAAGTGGGGACTGAAGGCTAAGGACACTGTGACATGCATGGTGGCTTTGCCTCCGGATGCCCGTCAGGTGGGCTGAGTCCAGTCATCTCTGCCCCATGGATCTAGCTGGTCTGACTCCGCATTGGGTTTGTGTTTCAAAGCCCCTCACCTGCCTACTGCTTGGCCACTGTGATGTCCAAGGCATGGCTTGAATCTGGGAGAATCTGAAAGGAGCTATGATCTGGCTGTATTCAGCTCCCTGCTCCTAGAGGTGAATATGCTGGGACGTCATACTCTGTCTTGCCCTATAGCTCTGGCATGTGCCTTCTCTCGGTGTCACCTCCCCTCCCCCTGAAAATGGGACAGTAAGAAGAAAGCCCAAATCTGGCTCTCCCCCGAAGGTGGAGGCTGAGAAGAACCCTCCTTCCCCCTGTGATTCAGGCCTGGCCCAAGGCTGCCTGTAGCTCTGTACAGGATTCGCACCCACACATTCCCAGAGCATGAGAAGCCTCACTCCCAGATGCCTGTGCCAGGACAGCCAGGGTGCACAATCTGTCAACACCCACTTCCTAGATGAGGAAACTGAGTCAGAAGAGACCAGTTTGTTAGTGTTACCCATGGGTAGGGCCAGCCACTGGGGACCCTAGGAACTTGGGGGCTCTGGTGGGCACTGGGAGTCCATGCTCAGGGCAAACTAAGCTATAGGGAGAGATAAGGACTCAGCCGTCTCCCTCCTGGTCAGCTGCCGTTCCCTCTTGCTGGACACAGACCATTGGCATTTGCCAGGAATGTAGACTGGCCCACACCCTGTTGCCCCAGTACACCACACCACACTCTGCCTGACTCCATTCCAGTCCTTGGAGATCTTGACAAGGGGCCGCTTTCCCTATCCTCCCCCACCCCTTACCAGTATGAATAGTATGAACAAGTCTCCTGTGAGAGACTCCCAGTCCATTTCCTAGTAGGCAGCCTGCTGCTGGTTACCTGGGATGGGAACTCCAGTTCAGCAGGGGGGGCTCGCATTACAAGATGATAGGGACTTTCCTGGGAACCATATTTCTTAGAACCAACCTCAGTGTCCAGACCCTTAAGGGGCTCACAATGGTGTTAAAGTTATCACACTGAGGGGGAGCCTGTGCTAACTCAGAAGTCAGGAGTTACATGTATCCAAAGTGCATTGTGGGTAGAGTGAACATTCAACTGCATCAGTGCCTGTGGCGCCTCTGGTCCAGCTGACCATGGGTCAGGACAGGAGCGTCCCAGGTTCTATGACCTCTCAGAAGAGGAGCCAGACAATCTCATCCACCATGGGTGTCCTTCCCTGCTGCACAAAGGGGAGTGGCAAGGACTCACTTCCCTTCCTGTCCTCTCCAGCTGGCCGCAGGACATCTCTGTGCTTTAGGAAGAGCCAAACAACCCTGTGTTGAAGACCCATCCCTGGTTTTTGGTCCCACCCATCCTCACCCAAGTCTGACCTTTACAAGGAATGTGGTCTGACTTCATTTCCTATCATTCAGGGCCAGACCTATGCTGGGCTTGAGGGAGGTTGTGCAGGGGGCTGTGGAAATAGCTGGCCAGGTGGTCCTATGACCCCTCACCTGCCCCATCCTGGAGGGAGGATGGCCAATGCCTTGCCGTAGACTCAGCCACTCACCTTATGCTCCATTCTGAGGAGCTTTTGATCTGCTTAAAGCCACCCCCGGGGGAATAAGGGGTGATATTACCTAGCAACAAGGGAAAGCCAAGGTCAGCCTTTTACATGGCTAGGTCCCATCTTAAAGTTCTGGACAGGACCTGAGCAAGGCTGGCATACAGTTGATAATGCTCAGTAGGTGTGTGGGGGGGGATAAAAGAGCAATGGATGCTGATTGATGCTGGTGAGGGGTGGGATGCAACTAAATGACTCTCCTGCGTTGCCCCATCACTGAGATCCCATAACACAATGCCAATGGAACCATTGTGGGTATTTCTGTTTTGCACTGAGGTGCCTTTGGCCCGGGTTGAATGGGCACCACCTATGCAGGATCTTGGATTCTATGTGACTGTAGGATAGTGGCTCCCATCTGCACCTCTTAGGATGTGGGTGTGAAAGATGCAGATTCCAGGGCCCACAGCTGCCTGCAGAGGCCAGGCTCTTAAGGAGCCCCTGCTAGGGATGATAGACAGGTCCTGACTCACATAGGGCTGGGCTGCGAGCTGCATAGTTTTCTGGGATGAGGCGAGACACTGAAGCACTCTTGCCAGGGCTTAACCATCCTACACATCGTCTTCTGGTCCACAGCCTGTTCTACCTGCTCTGGGACTTCTTAGCTGTGGGGTCTGAGGCTCCTCAGATATTCTCTGCTGCTGGGCTGGCCAGGCAACTTAAACATGGGAGCATGAGGCAAAGATAGCTTTAATACAGCCCTGTACATGCCCAGGAAGACACTTCTCCACAGGGCTCTGAACCCCACTCCAGAGGAGACACATGGATCCTCAGGTGCCCACTTATCCACTTGCTGTCCTAACCTTAACAGCACTTGAAGTGTTTAGAGAAGCCATGAAACCCCAAGGGACTGATATGGAAGAGATATTCCCTTCCCCTACAGCACGTCTGCCTGATGGGGACTCGCATTTGTACAAATCACAGGTACCTTCAGCCTCATGCCCCAGGGAGAAGGGTGGCTCAACATAACCCCCAGCCTGAGCCACTCAGTCACCCTAGTACAAATGGGGGACACCAGTGACATTCTGAGCAGGAGACAGCCCTATCTCCTGGTACTGTTCTTCCCTGCTGTGTCAGGACAGAGGATGGCTAAGCTGTCCACTGGGTCTCACAGCCAAGGTGCCTAGCTGACTCAGACCCAGTGCCCCTCCCTATAGGAGGGCTGGTTCTCCTAGGGGCGGGTCTGGCAAGCGGTCTGTGTGGAGGCTCTGCCTAGTGGACACTACTACAGGTGCCCACAGACGCTGGAAAGGTGATTTCCCAGGGCCCAGAGGCTCCTCATTGTCCCTAAACAGTGTGGGCTGAAGGTTGGGGCAGTTGGGAACCTCAGAGCCATTGTTATCCACAGACCATGGCCTTGCCAACAGTTCGACCCTTGCTGGGGTCTTGTGGGAGCCCCATCTGCTGTAGAAGCCTTCTACTGCTTCTTCTTAGTCTTGGTGAGTATGGGGTGAGCTGATCACCAGAGAGAGGTAAGAGTGCCCAGACCTTCATGGGTAGGGACCCTGGCAGAGGCTCTACCTGCCCTATGCTTTCTCCTTGGCCCCTTGCTAGGTGGCCTGAGCTCCAGGAGGGTTAGGGACTGAGAACAATGAAAGGCCTGGAAAGTGGTGTCACACTCCTAGCGGGGAAGACCCCTGGGCCTGGGGAGTGCAGGCTATATGACATAATGGGGAACAGGGGCCTTAACTCTCTCTTTCTATCCCCAATGGGGTGTGCAGAGGCCTGGGACCAGGAAGCAGCCCAGTTCTGCCCCGGCCCCTCCTCTAGTTTTGTTCCCTCTGCCCACAGGGTGGATGCCAGTTTTGCAGGTCCAGGCTATAAAGACGGGCCAGGTGAGATCCTCTGGAGGACACAGAAGGATTTTATAATGTGGGGGCTGTGGGCTTTGTTTTCTCTATTCTACATATGGATACATACATCTCTGAGATCTCTGAGTGCCAGTTTTCAAAGATGATTGTTGGTCAAAGTGTTGCTGAGCCTAGAGAGTAGCAGAATCTTGGCTGTAGCTCGGCCCTGAAAGGAGCGGAGTTGGGAAACAATGAGGCCCTTGGGAGCTAAGTCACAGGCCCCAGAAGTAGCCAGACTCGGGAAGTACCTGGACCTTGAAAGAGTTGAGACCAAGTTGACAGGAAAGAAGTACTGGTGTGCTTGGGGAAATGTCAGCCAGGCCTTGTCCCATAGAAGGCTGCAGTCCCCTGTGCTGAATTGACCGGTACCCCCCCTGACTTCACCAGGTAGGTTTAGCAGCTTTTGGGGTGGGGTGGGGCTCAGGATGCCTTGTGGGCTGAATAAGCAGGTGCCAAGTTCCCAAATTTTCATTCTTCACTGTCCTTTGCGTTTTGTCTTATCTCTCTACCCACCTCCCTCCCTCCCTGGCTGGCTCAGGGCTGGGGGAAGGATTGTGCTCCAGGGCACAAGCACTGTCCCCTCCAGGCTGCTACTAGTCCCAGGGAGGGGAGGGCTCCAAGAACCCCAGGGTCCTGAAGGGAGGGGCCTCTGGGCAGGGAAGCACTTCAGAAGGAACAGTGTTGGGTGCAGACTCCCAGCCCTGTCCACAGTCTCCCAGCAGGCCTCTTTCGTGACCTCAATTGTGAAGAAGTGTCTGGTCTGAACATGGCACATGCTCAGGCATTGGCTGAGGCTGTGAAAAAAAAGAACATCACACTCCGAGTGAATCAGGTCAGTCCCCTGTATGGTCTTTGGGTGGAATGGGGGAGACACCCATGGCTGGAAACTTGGTGACTAGTTTTTACAATACTGCTGCTCCCTTCATCCCGACCCAGGATCTCGTCCTGGCTGGTGACTCCCCTCAGAACCCCTCTTGCCACCTAAGCTGACCACTATGTGTGTGTCTGTACTGGGGCTTGGCTCTCTGGGTGTGTGAATGCCTTCCCTCCCGGCCTGCTACCGTTCCTCAAGTCTGAGATGGCCTTGCTGTCTCTCTCTTGGGGAGACCTTGCCTCATATTTCAAGACTCTGTCCTCAAAACATGGTCAATGGTGGCATGGTCAGGACAGGGAGAGAGAGGCCAGCCTGATGAGCCTCTATGGATTCAAGACCAAGGCGAGCCTGTTCCTGGCTCTTGGTGCAGTGGGATGTGCATGCCACAGGCTGTGTGAACAGAGTCAGGGTACAGCATGTGGCCTGTAGGGTGGAATAGAACTGGGGTGCCCCAGGCCATCCTTGAGGGCTGTGGCCCAGAACATTCTGAGCTGTATGTCCTGGTCTCCTGGCAGCTGCGCTGTCTGGCCCGTCGCCTTCCTAAGTACCTCACCAATGAGGAATTGGACGCCCTCCCACTGGACCTGCTGCTCTTCCTCAAGTAGGTCTCACCTCTCATCCCCCTCAGCCCCTGCCTTGCCCTGGGCAGTGACTGGGTGGCTTTGCCAGGAAGGCACACAATGGAGTGTGTGTGTGTGTGCATGCACATATGCATGTGTGCATGAGCACGCATACACACACACACACACAGAGTAACCCATATACCCCCCTCTCCATAGCCCAGCCATGTTTCAAGGGCAAGATACCTGTGTCCACTTCTTCTCCCTCATCTCTAAAGCCAATGTAGATATCCTCCCACAGAGGTCTCTGGAGCGCCAGAGGCTGCTGCCTAGAGCTCTGGAATGCCAGGTATGGAATGGTGCCATTTACTAGAGGTAGAGACAAAGCACAGAGTGGGCCTGGTCATTTCCCTAAGGTTCTGAAGCTGGCTGTACGTGCAGGGAGTGCGTAACTTTCAAGTGAGTGAGGCAGATGCGAAGGCTCTCGGAGGCCTGGTCTGTGACCTGCCTGGAAAATTTGTGGTCACATCTTCGGAAGTTCTCCTCCCCTGGCTGGCAGGCTGCCGAGGACCCCTGAACAAGGGCCAGGAAGAGGCAGTCAAAGAGGCCCTGAGGAGTGGAAGATCCCCATATGGGTGAGTAGGAATGGCTTAGCACATGGGCAGATATATGTGAGGATATCCATAGCCAGAATGGGTTTCCTAGGGCCATGTATCCCCTGCTGCACTCCTTGTCTGACCCAGTTTCTGGCTCCCTCGATCTCTGTCTGGGGCCACATTCTGGGTCCCTGAGCTGGGCCTCTGTTTCTGGACAGCCCCCCATCGAGGTGGTCAGTCTCCACCCTGGATGCTCTGAAGGGCCTGCTGGTAGTGTTGGATGAGTCCATTGCCCATGACATCCCCAAGGTAAGGTTCCAATACCTGGCCTGTCATTGAAGCTGCTGGACTTTGAGGCTCAACCTATTATGCTCTACTCTCAGGATGTCAGAGCTGAATGGCTGCAACACATCTCCCGGGGCCCCTCCTGGCTGGGGGTTAAGCTGACTGCCATGCTCCCAAGGTTCCGGCGGGACACAGAGAGTGAGTCCAGAGCCATGTCTATTTGGTAGCAATCTGAGACAGGATACTAGGGATAAGGGTCTATCTAGCATTGTAGAGTTTCATTTGCTCCTACCAGTGGCCCTTCCAGGCTCTTCAGCTTGGTCAGTTGTAACGTCACAGAATAGAATAGCACCATTTTGTCAGTGGGTAAACTGAGGTCAATGTGTTGTGGTAGGTGAGGGGGGAGGGAGAGTTGAGAGGAGCATACTGCCTCTGACTCTCATCTGCCCCTCCAGAGAAAACCTGCCCTCCAGGGCGAGAGCCCCAAAATGTGGATGAAAACCTCATCTTCTACCAGAATTGGGAGCTAGAGGCCTGTGTAGATGGTGCCATGCTGGCTGCCCAGATGGACCTTGTGAATGAGATTCCCTTCACTTATGAGCAGCTCAACATCTTCAAGCATAAACTGGACAAGGTCACTCATAATGGGCTTCTATCTGTCTGCTCTGCCCAGGACTCTTTTTCCAATGGTCCCAGGAGTTGCTCTGGCCCTCATGGTTCTTTCTTCCATAGACCTACCCACAAGGCTATCCTGAGTCCCTGATCCAGCAGCTGGGTCACTTCTTCCGATACATAAGCCTAGAGGACATCCACCGGTGGAATGTGACCTCACCAGAGACAGTGAAAACTCTTCTCAAAGTCACCAAAGGACAAAAGATGGATGCTCAGGTAACATCTACCCCGACATGTGGCTGGACAAGGGGATGCACCTTTCCCTGCCCTAAGGCGCCTTAGTGACTTCATCCACAGGTGATTGCCCTGATTGCCTGCTACCTTCGGGGAGGAGGCCATCTGGATCAGGACATAGTAAAAGCCTTGGATGACATCCCTCTAACTTATCTATGTGACTTCAGACCTCAGGACCTGTACTCTATATCCTCCAGTTTTATGTGGTGAGCTCTGGTTTGCTCTTCAGGGCTGAATGGATATTCAGAGCTTCCTAATCACTGCCATACCCCACAATGTCCCCAGGCTGGTTAAGCCCCAAGACCTGAACAAGTGCAGCCAGAGGCATCTGGATATCCTCTATCAAAAGGCCTGCTTGGCCTTTCAGAACGTGAGCAGGCAGGAATACTTGGAGAAAATCGGACCATTCTTGGGTGAGTCAAGGCACACACCGGTAGGTACAATAGGGCACTGTAGACCCCCCAGTTATATGCCAAGTCCTATCCTTTCCCTGCCCTATCCAGGGCTTCCTAGGCATATGTGGGATCTGGCATTGATGACTCTGGATCTCCCATCCCTTCTGACCTCAGTGGTTCAGACTGTTGTTGAACATGGAAGGGTCTGGGCATTAGGAAGAGGACAATCCCTGAGAAGCTGAGTATGCTATAGCCAAGGGTAGGGCTATATTGTGCTGGGAATTTTCAAACTGGGGCCCTGACACCTGCAGGTGGGGCCTCTGTGGAGGACCTGAGGGCCCTCAGCCAGCAGAACCTGAGCATGGACTTAGCCACTTTCAAGAAGCTGCAGGTGGATGCTCTGGTGGTAAGTGGGGGTGGGAATTCACGAAGGAGGGGCCTGAGAGAGGTATTATAGGAGGTGGCCAGGGTCCTGAGAAGGGCTTGTGTGTGGAGTCCTTATGTGGGACAGAGGGCCTTTTGTGGGGTACAGCCTCATGAGGAAGGCCTGGGGTAAAACAGAGGGACAAGACACAGGACTTCAGGAGAAGGGGTTGAGCCTCAGGAGGGAGGAGTTTGGACAGGTCCTGCTGGAAGAGGCGTGGCAGCCTCTCAAGGGGCCCCTTGTATACAGGAGTTGAGGTATTGTGGGCTGTTGTTTACCTACAGTGGGCCCTCTGGGGCCTAGAGACCCTGATGGTTACCCCCATGCTCTGACAGGGGCTGACTGTGGCTGAGGTACAGAAACTTCTAGGGCCACACATTGTGGATCTGAAGACCGAGGAGGATAAAAGCCCTGTCCGGGACTGGCTCTTCCGGCAGAGGCAGGAAGATCTGGACAGGCTGGGTTTGGGACTTCAGGGTGGCATCCCCAATGGCTACCTGGTCCTAGACCTTAATGTCCGAGGTGAGCTGGGTTGCCCAGGGGCAGAGGTAGGGGATGGAGTTAGGAGCCTGAGCTGCCTTCTCTCCTTACAGAGGCCTTCTCCAGTGGAGTCCCACTTCTTGGACCAGGATTTGTAATTGCATGGATTCCCGCTCTTCTCTCAGCTTTAATACTGAGCTGAGACCATCACCCCTAAGGCTCCTGGCACCAGCTCTACTGTGGAGCCTCATCTTAACCAGGAGCAGGCCTCAAGGGTTATTGCCAAAGTTTGAGGGCTCTTGAACTCAATAAACAGTGGCATGTGCCCCCTTGAGATGTCCTGTAGTGTTCCCAAGACCAGTTAAGAGAGTGACTTTGAAGTTTCTTGTGATCACAGAAATCACATAAATACAGCTCCCTGTGTTCATCCCTCCTACTCTTTTAGAAAGAAGGATGGGGGCTAGAGAGTTGGCTTAGCAGTTAAGAGCACTGGCTGCTCTTCCAGAGGACCCAGGTTCAATTCCCAGCACCCACATAGCAGCTCACGACTGTCTGTAGCTCCAGTTGCAGGGATCCAATGCCCTCACACAGACAAACATGCAGGCAAAACATATTTAGAAAGTAAAATAAGTATTTAAAAAAAAAATGAAAAAGAAAAAGCAGGATGAAAATTGGGCCTGTAGGTAGATGGTGTGTTTAAGGTCTTCCTGATGGGATTGCTGCCATCGACCTAGTGGAAGTCCTGAGACCCCAGCTGAGGATGTGGGAGGCTACCACAGTCTGGCTCTGCCAAGAGGATTCTATTTCCAACAAGGTCCTAGTATAGACAAGGGCTGTACGGTAGCCTTGTACTTTATTCAGATCCACGAGTGAGGGCAGTGACATTGAAGTGACACCAAGTCCTACTTGTCTTGGAATAGGCCACAAGATCTGGATCCTGTCTCTTCCTACCAACCTGTTCTTGTAGCTGGGTAGGACCTATCTCCTATGGGCCCAGGTCCTCAGAGCTGAGGTGTGTACAAGCCAGTCTCCTAGGATGGGGAACACAGCAGGTCCCCTGGGTGGGTGTCTTGTTCCATTTAGCAGCTCTGTTGCTCCTGTATCTGATGTTCAGGGGTCTGACTGCTTTGGGTCAACACCGTTGGCAGTGTCCAGGGTCCTAGTGCCCTGTGAGCAGTGCCTATTGGTCCTGAAGGTGCCTGACCCAGTAGCAGCCACAAGAGGCTGGAAGGCAGAGCCACAGCGAGTGATAGGCACCCCAGAAGAACTGGAGGGCTTCCTGCTGGGGGAACAAGGAAGGGGTCCATAAATCCTGATTAGAAGATACCCCTGGAGTCCCTTCTGTCACCCTTACCTTTGTGGTGGTGAGAGCCATGAGAGTCAGTGAGGATCCCATCCATGGCTGCTCTTCTGGTTCCTTTTGGTGGTTTGTTTTTTGGGGGGCATTTGTTTTGTTTCGTAGTATTGGGGATTGAACCTGGGTCCTTGTACATGGCTAGGCAAGTTCTTTCCAATAAGCTACATCCCCATCTCTTCTCACCCCCATACACACACACACACACACACACACACACACACACACACACACACACCTCCAAGTTTCCCACGCTAGCCATAAACTTTGTAGCTCAGGCGGGTCTTGAACTTGCAGTTCTCCTCCTGTCTTAGCCTCCTGAGTAGCTGGAATTACAACCTTGGGCCAGCAGGCTTGGTCCTCAATTAATGGGTTTTGGAAGGAGGCAATTGTATCACTATAGATAATTCATTAGGCAATGACCTGTGGCATATGGCAGGTCCGCCAGGAGGCAAATGAAAAGCATGGACAGCTAGGGGTCTGCTAAGGATGGGAACAAGGGGTGTGGACCATACCTGAGGCAGGAGCAATGCCATCATTCCCCGGAAGATTCAAGGTATCGATCAAATTGGATGGTGGGTAGACAGTGTTAGGGGGCTTGTTGGTCACATAGGACAGGGTGGGGCTGGTGTCCAGGCCCATTTCAGACAGGTCTGACATGTTGTGGCTGTGCATCCACAGGATAACATTTGGATGGTTACGGGCCTTCTGCAGGTCCCCCACATTCTGGCCCAACAGATTTCTCACATTGTCCACACTCATGTTCTGTAAGTGAAACCAGGGGTTTGGGGGGAGATGTGAGGATCCATGGGGCTGCCTTCCCCAGTCAAGGACCCAGCAAACTGCTCCCAGGACTAAGCAGGATGAGGACTGTGAGGCACAGAGGTCACATGTCACCTGTACTCCTCAGGCTTTGGAACATATGGGTCTGAGACCTGGGGTTCCCAGTTTGGCCAACCCCACCCCACGGAGACAGACTCTGAGCCAGGCAGTGTGGTATATGTCAGTAAGCATTCAAGACACTGAGGCAGGAGGATTGTGAGTTCCAGGCTAGCCTGGGCTACATCTCAACAAAACAAAACAGAGGTAGCTCCCGGGCCCACCTTCAACGTCAAGGGGTTGAGGTTGGTGAACGTATCAATGTCCATGGAGATGTTGGCCTGTGCCAGGTATTGAAGTTCCTCCAAGGGGGCACCACCTAGAGAGCAGTGGTAAGAGATAAAGAGCCAGAGGGCTTATTGTGGGATGGGGTGGGGTGGGGTGGGGTGATGACACAGGACAAAGGTAGGTGTGTATTAAGAAGAGGCTGAAGACTTAGAGGAGAGGAGGCACAATTTGGAGCTCACCGAGGTAGGGGCGTATTAAGTAGTAGTATTCTCCTACAGTACTGGTGTTCCTAAAGACCTCACGAGCCTTGGCGAAGAGCACATCCTTCCGACTTTGAGGGCAGGGAGAGATGTCTGGAGCTCCGGCCAGCCTGGGAGTAGGATGAGCAGATGAAAAGGCTGAAAACCCCTTGACCTGGACCATTGAGTGTAACCTCTGCCCTTTGAAACACAGATTTCTTCTTGTCCCTTGTACTGGGTCAGAATATAACCCCCCAAATTTAAACCCACCTGGTACCTCAGAAAGTGTCTTTATTTGGAAATAAGAAACTCTTGGCAGATGAAATCAGAGTAGAAGATGAAGTCCCACTGGGTTAGGTTGGCCTAACTTCCTTGTGTTCTTACGACAAGCAGAGCTTTTGGATACAGACACACAGGTAAGAGCTAGAAAGGCCTTCCTGTGAGGTTCCGAGGGGCCTGGCCCTGCGGACACTCTGACTTTGTACTTCTGGCCTCTATAAGTCCTAGAGAACATATTTCTCATTTTAAGTCACTTGGTTTGTGATACTTCCTTTCCTTCATTTTATATATATTTTTAATCATTTTTATATTATTCATGTGTGTGGGCACCACAGTTTATGTATGGAGGTCAGAGGACAGCTTGAAGAAGTCAGTACTGGCCTTCACCGTGTGGGACCCAGGGATTGAACTTGGGTTCTGAGACTTGGCAGCAAGCATCTTCACCCTCTGAACCATCTTTCTTACTCTCTTTGCCTATGTGTGTTCCTGTGTGTGTGTACATGTGTGCAGGCCAGAGGTTGACTTCAGGTGTCTCCCTCAGTAGCAATTATTTTGGGGAACATTGGCCTGGGGTTCATCATTTCAGCTAGACTGGTCAGCTAGATTGCTGGCATCACAGGTGTGGCTGTTAGCTTCAGATTGTTATGCTGTGTGCTGGAAATATGAATCCAGTCCCTGTGCTTGTACTGAAGCACTTTACTAGCTGTCTCCCTTGCTGTTTGTGACATTTTCTTATGGTGGTCCAATATGCCTCTGATAGCCTGGCTTGGACCATTCCACCACCTCTCCTCAACCTCAGTTTACCCTATGCCTCTTGCTGGGAAGGTGATTGACTGGGAGGCTCACCGGAACTCTGAGGGCTGGATGATCTGGATCTGCTTGAGGCTCATCCAGCAGAGACGGGAACCCCCGATGGCCACCAGGAGAGCACCAGTAACCTTGCCGTTATGGTCCAAGTACTTCTGAAGAACTGCCTACAGGCAGGCCCAGGGTCAGTGGGTCTGGGCGAACCAGACCTGCTAGCTTCAGCCCCATTGCCAGCCCTCACCTCTGTCTGGTTCTCCAGAGCTGCATCTGAGGCCAGCAGGACCATCACTGTGTCTCCAGATGTGATGTTCCACTGGCCTATTTCATCGAGGGAGTAGAGGTAGACCAGCGAGGTGATGAGGTGCAGCTGGTCCTCAGGGATGCCGTGTGGGTAGATCTGAGGCAGGTGGGCAGTTTAAGTTGTAGCTGAGCACTCCAGCCTCCACCCCATAATGGCCATCCACACACCTGAGCAAGCTTGGCTTTGACAACACGCTGGCACTCTGCAGGCAGGGGGTGTTGTAGTAAGGGGTCCAGGTTGGCCCTGAGCACACGTGTACCCAGGCAGGACTCCAGCTGGGTGCAGTCATAGTGCACCAGGAAGAGGTCATCATGCAGGGTAGCTGCTGTGATGTTGCCACGGACACAGGTGCTCCCTGCAGGGGGGTGCTGATGAGCAGGCTGGCAGGTGAAGCCCCGAACTGACAACTTGCTGACTTTTATCTTAGGCCCTGGCCTCCACTTTTTTCTTGTCTGTTTGCTTTTGGGGGACAGAATCTTGCTATGTATCACAAGCTGGCCTCAAACTTAAAATCCTCCTGCCTCGGCACCTTAAGTGCCACTATGCCCAGCCCCCTCTACTTATTGTAACCAGACCGTGACTTGCTCCTCATCCTTGATCTCTAGCCAAGAGCTTGGCCCAGACTGAGGGAGGCACAGTGTCCCTAGTACACCCTGGTCACACTGACCTGTGCGCCTCTTGAGCCTTGAGGACACTGAATTGGCCTTGGACTCCAGGAAGTTGGTGATGAAGCGCATGGCATCATGTCTGCTCAGCCGGGCTGCCCGGTAAGCAGCCACCACACTGCGGAAGAAGTCCAAGCCCACAGCCTGGCAGGGGTAAGTGTGTCCATTCCCAGTCATAGGAAGGGCCACCTAGCCCCTCCTTCTGCCCCACAGGCCATATGTGCTGTGATAGGAGCACCCAGGGCCACCACTCAAGGCTCAGAGTGGCTGTGTGGCACTCATGGTCCTGGATGGACTGGTGGTGCCCACAGCCAGTCCCACTCCAGGTATCTTCCTACCTCCTGCACCTTCTCCCACAGGTGGGGGCTGATGTAGGTGGCCAGAGGTCCTAGGGCCTGCAGTCCCTCCAAGTTCCAGGAGTCAGGGGGCCTGGTGCATGGGAAAGGGTGCTGTGTCGGAGTCTAACACGCCACCCCATCCCCTAAGCAGGCTGGAAGAATATTTACAGGCCCTTAACTCCTGGCCAGTGCCCACAGTCTTAGGGATTTGTCCTGCTGTGAACCCCAGATGGTGGGAACATCCTTAACCCTGTGCCTCCATGCCTCAACCTGCAATGTCAGAGTAGGGTAAGGGCTGGGGTCAGAATTCAAATAGCAAGACTGTAGGAAGGCATTACTACCATCCTGGGTTCAAAGCTCAAGCTTCTTCCCATCTTATCTCAGGGAAGGAACCCCTCTAGCCTCCCTGGTCCCCCCTTACCCTGATCCCTGGAACCCCCTACCCACCCAATTTGTGTCTTCCCACTGGCCAGCAGGGTGTTGAGGGCAGTAGTCTGCATGACAGTTAGCCTTGGGCACCGAAGCAGGTTCTTCAGCACATGGGGGTCCGAAGTCAGGATTTGGGGTGCCTCCATATCACATGCCAGCACCCCGAGAAGCCCCAGGTCTGAGGCACTGAGCTGTAAGTGGGGTCTCCCCTGCAAGAACAGTAAGTCAGTGCTAAACAGATGATCTGGCCTCACTGCCCAATCCTGTCCTCACCTAAGGCACCTACCAGACAGGACAACGCTGTGTGCTGTAGGGCAACTCTCTGGTTGGGCAAGTTGGCCAGCAGTTCTGTGTCCCCTTGGGCAGCATGGTGAATGAAGGCCCGGCAGTTGGCTTCGCTCACCTGGCTCAGACTAAGGACAAATGGAGGGATGTCAGGGTGGCTGGACTGGGCCTCCCACTAGCCTCCCTAGTGTCTCCAGGTTGGTCCAAGACCAGAGGAGGGAGCCCAGCCACAGCTGGCAGGCACCTAAATGATGAGAAGGCCACAGCAGGGACACTCACTTGTAGAAAAGTAGGAGGTTGGGTGGGTGGAACTTGAAGTCATCCTGAAGGCCTTGCCGTGCAGCGAGGTTGGCCAAGCAGCTAAGCTGAGCAGGGGACAGAGGTTGGACAGTAGGTCACCGTCTGTTCAGTGTGGACTGGCCCTGGTGGGACACTGCTCAGCCCTTACCCCCCTCAGCAGAAGACACACTTTAAGAAGGAATTGGAGATACGTGTGAGGAAAGAACCTGCAGTAGCTTACAGATGAGAAGGCAGATAGAAAAACAAGGTCTGAGACAGTCCTGAGAGAGACAAATGAACGGACTGCAGCTAAAAGCCAGACATGAACGGGGCATGGTGGTGCATGCTTTTAATCCCAGCACTCTGGATGTAGAGGCAGGTGGATCTCTGTGAGTTGGAAGCCAGCCTAGTAGTCTACAGAGTGAGCTCCAGGAAACTCAGAACTATATAGAGACCTGTTTCAAAAAAAAAAAAAAATCCACAGATGTTCAAATTAGATCTGCAGTCAGTCAACCTTGTAGAGGTTACAATGCTCATCCAAGACAATGGCCCCACGGATATTAAAAAGTAGGTCAGCTTCGCCTAGGGAGTGTCGATTCCCTTCGTTCCTTCCTTCGTTCCTTTTTCCTCTCTCTCTCTCCCTCCCCTTACCTTCCCTTCCCTCCTTCATTGGGTTTCACTGTGTAGCCTGTCTGACTGTGAACTCAAGACACTCTTGCATACTAAGAGGATAGGCATACAAAATCATGCCTGTTCTGATGACCTGTTTCCATGTCCCCGTGTGGGTGTTGACAGATTCTGCCTTTCAGGGTTGTTACATCTAAGTTGTTGCACCTGTGTGCACAGATAGACATTTCTTTGCAATCCCTTTATTTTCAAGGGGTGTGCAACAAATGGCCCTTGCTGGTTTCCATATTGGTAACCAGTGTCTCTTCCCTCTCCATTAGCCAGGCTAGGGGCTCTTCATCTTTCCACAGGAGCAGCTTGTGGCATTGATGATTTCCTTCTGCTTTCATTTATTTTTACCTCCTGCTTTCATCTCTCTGTCTCTTCTTTTACATTTCTATTTCTCGCCTTCCCCTGGTTTCCCAATAGGGAACTGCACCACTGAGTTCAGATATTTTCTTTTAACATTTTTTAAATTATTTATTTATTGTGGTGATAGCAGGGTTACATACATGCTATGGCAAGCATTTGGTAGTCAGAGGACAACTTGCAGGAGACAGTTCTCTTTCTATCATCTGGGTTCTGGGATCAAACTCAGGTTGTTAGGCCCAGTGGCAAATCCCTTCACCAGCTAAGCCATCTTGCAGGACCCACATCGGTCTCTTTTCTAACACACACGTTTAAAGCCGTAGTCAGCCATTGTTCTCACTGTACCCCACAGGTTTTGATTAATTTTCTTTTTTCTAGACAGGGTCTCACTCTGTAGCTCAGGCTCCAAACCTCTTACGTCAGTCTCTGGGGTTACAGCATAGTAGGCTCTATTTTTATTTAGCTCAAAACTTCTTTTTCCCAATTGTCTTGATGCCAGATGTGGTAGTCACACCTGTAATTCAAGCACTTGGAAGGTGGAGACAGGAAGATCAAGAGTTAAAGTTCAGGGCTTTGGGCTGGCAAGCTGGGTGATCAGCAGTACTTGCTGCTCTTGCAGAGAACTTGAGTTTGGTTCACAACCAGCACTCACAAGGTGGCTAACAACTGTCAGTAACTCCAGTTCCAGGTGATCCAAGCCCTTTTCTGATTCCCTCAAGTACTGCACACATATACCAATGTATGTGCTGGCAAAACACCCATATATATTATACTTTAAAAACTCTTTAAAAGAAAAAGAGCTAAAGTCACCCTTGGCTACACTGTGAATTCAAAACCAGGCTGGAATACATGAGACTCCTCAACCGCAGAAAAATATCTTGAGAGTTCTTTGGCACAAGTATTATTTAAAAGTGTGTTATTCCTGGGCTGATGAGATGGTTCAGCAGTTAAGAGCACTGGATGCTCTTCCAGGCGACCTGGGTTCAATTCCCAGCACACACATGATGGCTTACAACCACCCATAACTTCAGTTCTGGGGCATCTGACACTCTCTTCTGACCTCTTTGGGCCCCAGGCACATATATGGCGGCAAAACAGCCATACACACAAAATAAATATTTTTTTTTTAAAAGAGCCTGTTGTTCCGTTTCCATTTGTGAGTTTTCCATATACTTTTCTGCAACTAATCTCTTGTTCAAGTTTGTTGTCTTCTGAGATCAGATACTGGATGCTGTCTACATTGTAAGGTTGGGGAAGGTGTATCTTAGAGGCAGTGATGCATCTGTCTTGGTAAGATACGTTCTGTTGTTTTGGGATAAGATTGTCCACACATATCAGCTCCACGAACCCTGATTGCGATGCTGAATAAACTCTTCGTGGTTTTTATTCCAGCTGCCGCATCTGTCCTGGCCTGACAGGTGGCAGACATCGCGGGACATCACAACAGAGTCTCCTGTTATTTGTCCATTCTATAAGTTTGTGTCATGTGTATATGTACACTTTGAAGTGCACATATGTTAAGGGTTATATTTTAAAAACATAGAGGAGCTTTCTACACAGTTCAGACTAACCTCAAATTAGTCCCCCTGCCAAAGCCCCTTAAGTGCTGAGGTTAAAGGCCCATGCCACTGTGCCTAGTTCTTTCTTTCTGTTAACATGGACAGGTGATGTTAGTCAGATGTAGGGCTATGTGGGTTCAGCAGACTCCTGCAGCCCCAGTTGGGAGAGTGGCAAATGGACTGTAAGATCCTCCCTCATGAGCCCTGGGCTGGACCACCTCAAGGAGGCACCATGTCCTAGATGAGCATAGGGAGGGATCTGAGGCAGGGTACAATCCCGTGACCATTTCAAGTCAAGTTAGAAGCACCCTGTAGACAGATTTGCTGAAACATGCTAGGGCTACTCAATGTGAGTACTCATGCAGATCACCCTATAGCGGAAGCAAGGCTTCTTGTCACAGTGGGGCCACAAAAAGTCACATCCTGGGGCTGGAGAGATAGCTCAGCTGTTAAGACCACTGGCTGACTGTTCTTCCAAAGGACCCAAGTTCAATTCCCAGCACCCACACGACAGCTCACAACTGTCTGTAACTCCAGTTCCAGGGGACCTGTCACCTTCACACCAATGTACATAAGATAAATTTAAAGAAATTATTTAGAAACAGCAACAAAAAAAGTCGCATTCTAAGTGGTTTTGAGGTTGGCAAGATGACTTGGAGACAGCCCTCTGCTTCAGGGCAGCTGTGTGCCAATGTTAAGTCCTTGCAGAGATGCCCCCCACCTGTGTACTCCCCAATGTCGGGTAACCTGCAACACCTATGCAACACCTATGCAACACCTATGCTCTTACCTGCCAGGCTTTGAGAGGGGTCCTCTGCGAAGCCAGGCTTCTGAGTAAAGTGGAGAGCTCTTCCCGGGGCAGCTGGCTGGCTGGCAAGCACCGAAAGTTCTGCAAGAGGGAGGTGTTGTTCCTGTATAGGAGGAGGGGGCCATGCTGAGCACAAAGAGGAAGACCCAGGAAGGAAGGCTTTGGCTACTACAAGGGAGATTTGATCACTGAGGAAGTAGAGGCAGGCAGTGCCTGTTACGGGTAATATTCTTCCTTCCTCCCTCTCTCCCTCCCTCCCTCCCTTCCTCTTTCCCTCCCTCCCTCCCTTCCATCCATCCTAGAAGACCTTGCTAGGGCCAAGCTATCAGCTGGATGGGACTTTACTATGGGTCCTGCCATCACTTCTGGGGCTTGGGTTCAGCTGACTTTGAACTCAGGCTTGGACCAGTCCTGATAGCTGCTGAAGGGTATGGGGCCACATGCTGGGTGTTCATGGGTGCGACTATCTTCTGAACTTTTCTCAAGGTGTGACATAAAATCCACCTATCGGGTGGGAAGGCGTCTCTGATACTAACCCAGGCTTGGCTAGATCCACTTGGGATCCTGATCCTACCTGACCAGTCATCACATTAACTGACTGGCCCATTGATTATCATCATTCCAAGAAACAGGGGAGCATCTAAGCCCAGGCCTGAGCACCCAGGAAATGACTAAGCTAAAATGATTTGGGGTATAGCAATGGCCTTGAAGGCCCTGGGCCTGGCACAAACAGTAAGGGATGATAGCCTAGAGCTCCAAGGGGGAGGCCTGGGGGGACACTGGCTGAGGTTGCAAATCTTTGATGGTTGCGGCTTCTTGTGAGTATGTCCACACATTTGGAAACGGACAGGGACTTGATGGCATATAATGACACTGGATCCTGGAAGCAGGCCAGCAAGTGACACTGAAGTTAGGCTAGGCCCCCCTAGGTCAGAGCTGGCCAACAGTGGCCCTGGCTGGGCCTGATACGTAGACTCTGGACATAGTCCCTCCCCTGGGACCACCAACAGAGGATTCAGGATCACTTCTCCATACCCTGTCATAGAAAACAATTTGCTGGACTTGGGTTTTGCTCACCTGATCCATGTGTTGGCTTCACTGGCAGTCGGTTCTCCCTCAGGGAAGCCCTTCATCTGAGGACCAGAGCAGTGGGCAGTGAGGACCAGAAGAAGGATGAGACCCGGACTCACCAGAGCACCTGCAACAGAGTGGCAGTGAGGGCATGAGTAGGGGCTCCCTGTGACCGCCTCAGCCACAGCACCTCCTAAAACAAGGACCTGGAGGAGGCTTGTAGAGCCATACCAGTTTCTGTGTACCCAGTCTGGACTTACATGTGGTATGTGTCTTCTGGAGTCCACAAGTGTGCACACACTTTCTGGCAAGTGCATGTGTGCATGTGCCTCCCTGATTGTTGCTCTGTGTACTCATAATCTGAACACTGAGACCCCAAAACTCAGAGACAGGGAATTGGCTCCATATTCTCCCAAGCCCCTTGTTCCTGTAATGGAATGTGAAAGGGTCTCCAGGCCTAGGAGGAGGGGGTTTGTTTCCAGGGATGCTTCTCTCATGGCTCAAAGCAGACACTTAGCAAAATCCCTTCTGAAGCAGCAGCAGGGCCAATGAAAGATGGTTATACTCTGATGTCCTTTGTGATTCATCACCTCCCTGCCTCCTTGGAGCCTGGCCTGGCTTATGCTGGGAATACCAAAGAGGACTTGGTCTATACCCTGCTGTATAGACCAGTGGTGGCTCCTTCTGGTCACAGTCCTGCCTTGTCTCTACTAGGACCCCCAAGCCTGTGTTGGTGGGACCGTACTTCCAATGCACCTTTGTACCACACTAGCTGGCCTGTGTACAGGGGACCTCACTCTCCTCCCTTCCTTCCCCTGCAGCAGGTCCACGAGTTTGACTTCATGTGGACAGGGTGGCTTAGAGCATGAAGAATCCCCACCTCTGACACACTGTGATCAATCCACAGTCACCCAAGGGGCCAGGGCATCCCCTCTGTGTGGAAGTGTTTTCTCACCCAGTCTGGAGCCCAAGGCTGATGACTGTCGGACAGTTCTGATCATCCTGGCTGGAGTGTCTCAGGGCAGGGAAGCCCAGAGGCTGTGGGTTGTAGGTCCAGGTCTAGCTGGAAATGGCTCAGCTTAGTTTCATGGAAGACAGAGGGAGAGAGGAAGAGAGAAAGAAAAAGAGGAAGCCAGCATCAACATCTTGCAGGGTGCCCGACTCTGTCTGGGGAGGAAAACAACCCTACAAACAAGCCTCACAACGACAGGGAGTGGCAGGGGAGGGGAACTAGTGAGCCTGGCCTTTCTTATCACAGGTCGGGCCCCAGGGACCCTCGTGTGCATTGTTTCTAATTAGCAGATCTCACAAACAGCAAATCTCCCAGGCAGTGGGGGAGAGGTGCCCCCACACCCTGTGACCCAAACCTCAGGCATCAGCAGTCTCTGAGATCCCAGTTCTAGAAGACAAGAAAGGGCCCAGCCAGAGCTGTTGGACTGCTCTGTGCTACTGACTCCCGCTCCCCGCTGCATATATGATGTAAGTATGTATGATGACTTTTGGGCCCCTATGACCTGATTCTCTGTGGTCCGAGAGGCACACAGGAAGGTCACTGCCCTATTTAGGGGCTAAAACAGGCTCAGATACCTAGCAGCTTGCAACACTGTGGCCTGGTTGGTGTCTTCTGTCCTAGCAGTTCTTACCTGAGCAGGAAGTATTATCTGGTAGGAGAGGTGATGTCCAGGGCTCAGGGAGGAGACTACTCCTGATCACACAGCCACAGGATAGAGTAGACCAAGCATTCCAGATACTAGTGATCCAGGCTCAGGTTCTATCAATCCTTGCAGCTGAGCCCCAGGAGGCAGGGCATACGTGGGTAAAACTACCAAGGTTTCTGCTCATCTGCAAGCTTGGCCCAGTAGGCAGCATGGGACTTCACTGCCTAGTCAATCCACTCTGGCAGTGACATCTGCAAGGCAGGCCTGTGGGGAGGAGACTAGACTGTGCCAGGTGATGCTTGTATTAACCCCTCGGGCCCCAGGCATAGCAAGCACCTGCTCTTCAGCCCCAGGAGGAACTCAAGCTGAGCTTGGGTTGAGCTCAGGGTTGGCAGGCACCCAGCACACACCCTCCCCTTGAGGCCTCCAGCCTTACTCAGGGTGTAAAGGGGCGGGTAGCCTGAATTCATGTGTGTTGGTGTCTCTGTGCACATAGGTGTTTCTCATTCTGCACATTCTGTGCATCCCCAGAACTTCCATATGCAAGCTGTTCCCCACACAGGACATTAGGCACACAGACAGGTATGGTGGCTGGGCAGTCCATCCCATGGGTGCTAAAGCACAGTGCCATGTAGACACATGTGAGCCGTGGGACAGAGTGAGCATGCGGAGAGGCATACATTCTACACCTATTCCAGCCCGTGGATCTACTCAGGGCTTGCTGCCAAAACCTCAAAGACACAATCATTATCAGCTCCAGGGCCAAGATGATGGCAAGTCTCAGAAGTGGCTAGGTAAGAGGGAAGTCTGCAAGGGAGATTTCCCAGCCTACCTGCTGGGAAGCTGCCTCTGGGTTGGTCCTGACTGGCTCCTGGCACTGACTATGGCCCACTTGAAGCTCTGACTTTGGAAGGGACTGTGGAGGGCAGAAAGACTCTAGGACCCTGAGGCCCTGAAGTGGGTCTGCACTCAAAATACTAGGTGACCAGCAAGCCAGCTTTGCAGCCCCATGTGAGGCTGGCAGCTGTAGTAACAGCAGACCATAGCCCCTCAGGAGTCGCAGAAGACCTTCCAGGTGGGACCCCTAATGGTTTGGAGTTCAGGTGGCTCAGCTGGTTCAGAGGGATGGATCAAGATGGTCTCACAGGGCTCCTGGGCTTTCATCTGGACCAGTGTAGCTGACACAGTGGTTTCCAGCAGCTACCTTTGGTGTTTGTGAGGGGCCTCTTCTTCTGGAGGGGCAAGATTCTGGGGACAAGTTCAGGAGAGGATCTCAAGCACAGAGCACAGGCCTACCCCAAGCCCCAACATTAACCCGAGGTCAAGGACTGACTGCCAATGGCACTCTGACCCAAGTGCTGCCCTGCGAACAGGTTTTGGTTAAGAAGTTCTTTTTACATTTGTATTTGTTACCCTGGTATTGAATCTAGGGCCTTGAGTATGCTAGGCAAGTACTCTACCACTGAATTACATGCATGCTTTGGCTTAAGAAGCTGCTCTGGACACCGAGACACCTGCTACGAAAAGGTGTCATGTGGTGGAGGTCCCCACCTACCTCCAGGTAGGCTGGAGGAGACTTCCCACAATTCCAGCTTAGGCAGAGGCTGCCCCACTGTGGGCTTGGCCTCTAGGGCAGTCCTAGACCCAAGATAGACAAATGATCACGTGAAAGAATCATCACTGGTGGAGTCACAGTCTATCCCCTGCTCTTCTTTATGGATCACCGAACCCTCCCACAGCCTTGGGAGAGTTCAACCCCTTGTTTTCCAGATGAGAAAAACGGGGGCCCAGAGAGGCTGAGTGAATAGGGCACATAGCAAGTGCTGTTGCTAGAGTGCCCTGGGGCAAGGCCTTCGACACTCTGATCACCCTTTGCTTGACCTGCTTGGAGTGCTGGCCGGGTTGGCCTTGTCTTAGGAGGCCTCCTCTTCCAGGAAGCCTTGTCTAATGCTCTACCCTCTGAACCCTGCCCACCCCATAGCCGCAGGATGAGGGCAAATGTGCAAACGTGGGTATCCCATTAGGATCTGGAGCCTCAGCTGGGGAGGTGGTATCCCACCGGGGATGGGAGCAGGTGCTGAACCACATGGGTAGGTACAGAGGGTACTGGGACACCATAAGGGTTGGTTTGGATTTTCTAGGCATAGTTGTGGTGTGTTTTCTGGAGCAGGGCCTTGCCCAGGGCTTCTGCTCTGCCTTCCTTCCAACTTGTTCTGTCTGCCTATCTGTGCATCTTCCCTACTATCCCATTCCTTGCTCCATGACCTCAACTTGTGCCAGGCCACTGTGACAGTTCAGAGACCTCACCCACCCTAATACTGGTCACTGGGGTCCTCTCCTGATGGCAACCCATGGCTGGCATCCTGGTAGCCACTTGGCACTAAGCTGAAGTCTGGTAGAGTCTGTGACATAGGGGTCGTTCTTTTGCTTCCACTGGTTTGTCCTTTGGGAGGTGGGCTGGGTCACGGAAGTTGCAGAGGTCCATTGCCTGTCTGGGGACTCATCAGCAGCCCTGTGCCCTGGAGGGGTCAGTCAATGCTTTGCTTCCTGCTCCAGACACCAGCCACGAAGGATTTGCTTCTTTTTCTTTATAATCTCCCTCTTTCCCTCTGTGTGTATGTGTGTGTGTAGGCGAGTGTGCGTTTGTGTGTGCATGTGTATGTATATGTATATGGGTGTGTGTGTGTTTGTGTGTGTGTGAGAGTGCACATGTGTGGAGATCAGAAGACTACCTCATCAGGGTTAGTTATCGCCTTGTCTCTTCTACCTTGTTTGAGATGGTCCCTTGCGGTCCACGGTCGTGTTCATGGCATGCTGGCCCATAAGCTTCTGAGGGGTCTCCAGTCTCCACCTCCCATGTCACTGCAGAAACTTGGGACTGTGAGCCACCACGTCTGGCTTTATGTGGGTTCTGGGGATTAGAACTCAGGTCTTCACACTTATGCAACAAGCATGCTACCCACTGAGCCATCTCTTCAGTCCCTCTAAAAGTGGCTTTTTAAAACCATCTCTTGTATCAGACTGGCCTCCAACTTGTTCTGTCACCAAGGATGTCCTTGAGCTTGGGATCTTCTCGCTTCCAAGTCTGGGTATTATAGGTGTGCACCACCACACAAAGGCCTTTTTGGTCTGCTTGTTTGAATGTACTGCTGGGGTTAGAACCCAGGGATCCATGAATGCTAAGCCAAGCTACATTCCCAGCCTTATTTCCTCTTTAAAATGGGAAAACTTGCCTTTGGTGGCTTATAGAAGCTGGCCTGGACTCTCAGAGACAATAGCACTTTCCTGTACGAACACAGCCTCCTTACTCAGGCATTGCCTTGAGGTCTCTGGCATGTGCCTGTCAATGCTGAACTTCCTGAGGGAGGCCTTTTGGGAAGTCTTGGTCTATCCATGCCTGAGGTCTGGTAAGGAAGGCCCCCTGAGAACTGTAAAAGTATGAGGTTGGCCACATCACAAGCTGAGGAACTCATGCCTTAGGGTACAGGGGCAGACACACTGGGACAAAACTCAGCAGTGCCCCTGTGTGGTGACAACAGGCATGACAGCTATTGAACTAATAGCTGTTAGGGAAGTGAGCTGCCGTGCCAGGGTCTGCAGAAACATCCTCTAGATCACCACTATGACTAGGCCGGTGCTGTGTGAGAGACATCCAGAGGCTAAGGAGACAGGAAAAGACCTGTATTTCCCCATAGAAAGACAGAGAAGCATATGAGTGGACATTGAGGGCTCAATAGGGGTGGGCATAGCCTCCCAATCTTCTTTTACAGATTGGAAAACTGACACAGGGAGCAGAAGCAACTAGCTCAGGGCCTCATGGCCCTGCCTTTCATGTAGTCTTTACCAAGATCTGGTGGGCAGTGGTTTCTGGTCTGGCCCATCATGGCAGCTGTCCAGGAGACATATTGCAGTGGGGACTGAGCAGGATCCAGGTGACCTCAGAGGGATTCTGGCTTTGTGATGTCCCTCCCATGAGCACTGGGACTCTGGGCACCTAGGCTGTAGACCAACATGAACAGTGGCTGTTCTGGGGACCCTGGTTGAAAGCACTATATATAGTAATGCTTCTAACTCAGAGGGGCCTTCTGGGGACTGGATATATGACCCAATTTTGGTCCCTATTAAGAACCCCCGAGCCCTAATTTCATGTTTCTTATTGCCTATGGGGCGAGGAAGGGCATCAGACATGACCTTAGGTCTACAGTGGTCCTGCTAAGCAGCCATGGGATAGAGATCTGCCAGATTCAGCAAGGAAGGGTCAAGGGTGCCCCATATCAGATATATTTGTGGTCACTCTTAGGATTGATCACTGAACATTTATTCTGAATCCTAGACCCTAGCTG